TTTTACCACTCGATATGAAACATCTGTTTCTCGTTAATTCATGATAGCCATATCATGGGAGTTAAAGATGCTTTCCTGTTCTGTGGTAGACTACGAGTAGTCCCCCATTTTTCCTCAGGGATAGTAGAGCGAGAGAAACGCTAGTGCGCGTAAAAATCACCCCACGCGAGAAAACGCAACCGCGTCTCGCCTTTCTCGCGTGGGGTGATTTTTACGCGCACTAGCGTTTCGCTCGCTCTACTATCCCTGAGGAAAAATGGGGTACTACTCGTAGTCTAGTTCTATGGTGACCGAGGACAATTCTTTGGCCAGCTCGTTAGAGTCCCAAACGTTATTTCAGAGCCTGTTCCAGGCGGTCATATAGAGGAGAGAGTAGCCTGCGAAAACATCCGTTTCTCCCCGCTCTTCGCCGCTGGGGACGTTTCGCGTTACTCCTCGCGAAACGTCCCCAGCGGCGAAGAGCGAGGAGAAACGGATGTTTTCGCAGGCTAAGGAGAGAGGCGCGAAATAGAGAGCGGAGGGAAAGCGCCGAAGTAATGAAGAGGGGGAGAGGAGTTGCTTCTCTCGTAGCTTTTTTCTACGCACTTTTCTTATCGTTGTCTCCACTATCTGAACGCCTGGAACAGACTATAATGTGATGTTCTGTGGCGCTTGAACCAGAGGTCAAGGTGAGCTAGGGTTTTAGTCTCCACGTGGGAGCATTGCGTGACTCCGGCCTGAGCGGCTGTCAAGAAAACTACTAGGATCTATTTTGTAGCGTTGGTCCTTTCTTCCAAAACTAAACTACAGTACTGAACTTTTTTTGACTGTGTTTGAAGAATCCTCATATTGAAATTTATATTCAGAGAAATACAGTCCTTGAGAACTAAAGTTTCCTTATTTTCTCAATGTAAATTACCCCAATACACGGATGATTTAACTTTTCTTAGACATAACTTTTCATAAATGAAGCTTCCAGACAAAAAGGGACTTTTTACGGAGCCAGTATCCAATATTAGACAGCTAAATGTAAATTAACTTAATCAGCACCAAACCATTTTATTTTTGCCATTTAACACTGCAAACAATTCTGAATCGACCATCCAATTGAAAGATTTAGGAAGGTAAGCAGAATAGTTGATCATTTTATTTTTTAATTTAATTTTATTAGTTTTGCCCTAATGAATACAAAAAAACTGAAGATATGCAAATACTAGTAATAAGAACGTAACAATACACTTATAATAACTTAAATAATTTGGGCAGGTACACCGGAACAGCTAAAGCCAATTGCTACGGACCCAAAATAAAAAATATAAAAGTAGCAATTGAAATCACATGCAGCAAATAATTTCTTGGTCTAAGAACCTGGCCGTGTTACACTTCAAGCAAATAGTTTTGAAGCTCCTTGGAGAGTCCGGGTCATAGTTTATTGCTGCAGCCCGCGAGTAATAACCGTAAAGAACAGATTTAAAGTTCTTAATAGTAACATTATCTAGGTCAAGTCTGGTAATAAGCAGGTTCCAGATTCTAGTGGTTCTAATGAAAAAAGATTTCTGAAAGGGAGAAGTCCTGCATTTTTTAGGCACAAAAGATTGAGAGCTCGTTACGAATATTCGGGTCCTTCGAACGCATTCGCGCACGTCGGGAACAATGCAACAGACGGATCTAAGTGAATCATATTATGCGTAGCCTTGTAAAAGTATACTAGATCTAGTAACTCGTGCCAGTAGCATACAGGAAGTAGGTTTACAGATATTAGTAATGCTTTACATATTACTCATATTTTAAATGGTGCTGTTCTAACACGTAACGTTATTATCATCATCATAATCATCTCCATCGAGCAGATACAGTATTTATTCGGCTAAAGGCCGCGGATCTTGGCTATAAGCCGAGACACTAAACTTGAACTCGTAGAATCAGCATAACCAAGAACGAAAGATAAATCCAAAACACTCGGCTATAAGCCGAGACCCATTCGTTACAAGACTTTTAACTGACTGTCAACTTAACAATTTCGAAAAAATGTGACCTTATCTAGGAAAACGTAAAATTGTTGTTTGGGCTTTTCGCTACTATAGCATCTTTTACTGAATAGCATGTTTTCTTACAAGTCAACGTAGTTTTGTAGCTTTTGACACCCAATTACATAAACGGAAACCTCTTTCGCACATCTTCGTTTAATATACAGTCGAACTTCCCATAAGCGACCAAGCGACCACCCATAATTGCAAAGACTTAGTGAAAGTCGCTTAGGAGAGGTGATCGCTTACAAGAATCGAACCACAGGGCGCCTCTTCCACGAAGAGGTTCGGGCACATCTACTTTATGGAAGTTATTTTATTGCATACACTCTCTAAGTTACGCCATGTGTAGTTCCATGTTGTTACATAAGTTCTTAAGTAGCACTTTGCACACAGCCAACCGGTATAGAGATCAGAGAAGGCGTCAAGTGGTCACTTTCCAGAGGTTAAGGTGGCTTAACCCAGTTTTGGTAGTTTGTGAGTATATGTCATTTGCCAAATCATGGCAAGAGAAGGGTTGCAGCTCACAAGCTGAAACTTGAGAGAAACATGAAAGATTTTGATTGACAAGTAAAATTTCGTAGTTTCCATGGCAACATGAACGATTGAATAAAACCGAAGTTAAAAATGGCCCCAAGAGAAACTGAAAACAATGCTTATGCAAAATTTTGGGGTGACAAAAAAAGAGCATTATGGTATCATGGCATTTTCTGGTCCGATCATTATCTGGGTAATGCTGCAAACTTGGAAATCCACCCCTTCATGTAATTTACAACTATCAGTAAATCTTTTTTCAGTTCTGAGTCATGGGCAGCTTGTTTTCGAGTGGAACAAACTCAACCGACCAACAGCAACCCAGGTGAGAATTAATACTACTTAAAACAATTTATTCATGAGTAATGAAATATGAAATATGAAATATAGTACTGGGTCAATCAATAGTGGTAGAGCGTAATTCAGTACTTAATAGTAACAAAATATCATAGTGATCATTCATTATATTAGACACGACGTCGTAAGTTCCTCTGGACCAAAAAGCGAATTTGTGAAATGACGTTTGGTGGCTTCAAGATGATCTGATCAGTCTGATGAAAACTGTGCCTTTTTTCAAGGTCAAGGCATCGTCACATTAGAAGACGACCAAACCCCTGAAGTAATTTTTCTTGGCCGAATTCACAATAGAGACGGTTTATCCGTATGAGACGGGCCCATGATCCGTTGGATGATTCCCGTCAGACAGATAATACGTCTTAATTCAGGGCCGTAGCCAGAAAAAAAAATGAGGACTCTTAAAAAAGCTGGTACGGACCAGATATTTTTGCCGTGTAAACCTTCCGTACCATCTTTTCATGAAATGGTTTTGGGGCCATAGGCGGCTATGGCCCCAAAACCCCCAAGAAAACGAGTCCGGGCCCCTTTTTCTGTTCGAAAGCGCTGTGTAAACGCATCTTCCTTTCGTACCATCTTCTTCATGTGAGCCTGCCGTGCTTTACGGTGGTTTCGCGCCTGTCTACTTTTGCACTATTTCACTATTCAGCCTAATCTGATTGTTACGCGTGTAAACGCTTAAAATATATTGGTCCGGACCACTTTTTAATGGTTAGGGTAGGATGTGTCAATGATCAAATTATATTTAAATGGCTCTTATTTAGAGTCTCTATTTACCGACGTTCCAACACAGCCTCAATCCCAGGACCAAGAGAGGGTCGCAGTGATCCCGAACTCTAAAACTAGGGAAACAAACAAACAACAACAAAACTGAACCGCAGCTGAAATCTTAGGACCTTCCGTATCTATGTTTTCGCAGTAAAACATTGATCTGATAAAATAAGGGCAGTTCCCACTTTTGTTACTGCGCGTAAGTTCTGCGCATAAGAAGAAGATCGGAAAGAAGCTTGCCGGACATGTGCAGAGGAGCTCTGAGTTAAGATTGCTCTCCTAGAAGGGTAGAAAAGGTTGGACGTAAAGTCAAGGTCCAGACGACAAATAGTGTCCATGAGTGAAGCATATTTCTAGCGGTTATTTCTCTAGCTGTACTTTTCTCGAAGTAACCGAACAAAACGGTAACACTGACGTTTTTCCCCGCGCTTGCAGTGTGTGTGAGTCCTAGGTGGGAAAATAAAATTATAAGTCATTCTACCGATTTGTTACTTAACGGCGCAGTTCAGAAACCCGAAATCAGCCTCTTGGTAGGCACAACTGGGAAGAAGCCAATTTGAAATTGAGACATGCAGAGCCACGCATTGTCGTGAAACTCGATATCTAATTGGCTATCCCATGAGTGAGAGGTACAAAACACAGGTCACAGGTAACTGAGATAAGCCGTTTCCTCTTAAGCTAAAATTCTATTTTGGATTGTGATTAGGGCTATGAGACACTTTTAGTGTTCAGGGGTACCCAACGTCAATTTTCGGAAAATATCTGTTCGGAAGACGAAAATACGTTTAACAATAGAATGTTTAAGTGGTTTCGAACTATATTCTTGTTGGGTGCCCTTGAGTGTTTTTTATTTGCCATAGCACAGTGACCTGTAGCTTATCCTACACTTGTGACCTGTGACCTACGTTTTGTACCTGCCGTCCACAAACCGTCTTGGTACACCTAATTGCGAAAATGTTGTCTTAGTCGACACGCTAAAAGAAAAAAGCCAAAAATGCTAAAAGAAAAAGCCAAATAGGATTTAATTAGACCACTATAGTCTGAGTTCATTTGCAGCACAAGCGGTTTTTTCTCCAGGCGTAGACACAATTTGCCAATGCGACAGCTGCACGCGAATGTTACAAATGAATTCACCCCATAGTGGTATACTGGTAAATCTATCTAATTAACTCCTATTTACCTTTTTACATTTTCCTTTTAGAATTTTCCTATGACAATGCTATTGTAGTTAGGTGTATTTCTACATTAGCAAGTTGTTCTAAAAGAGACTTAGAAAAAAAGCGCTCATGTAAATACCCTTTCCTTGTTAATTTTATCCTGTCATCTTTAACTTGCAGCAAATTCAAGTCTGATCTGAACGACCAACAGATTAAGGCAATCCGCAGCTCATGGGGGAAGGTGTTACCAAACAAGGAACAACATGGAAAACTGTTATTTTACAAGTAGGAGAGTACTAATCCTCAACTTAATAAATGCTTTTTTTTTTCAAGTGAAATATTGATTTAAGAAAAGTTACTGCTCTAATTATCGAGTCTTCAGCTGAGTCTTCGGATAAAATGAGAACAATCAACCTCGGACAGTCTAACTTTAGGGTGTGCCCATTGAAACTGAAGTCAGTGAGCAGCGCTTATATGCGGCGTTGTTAGATATTTTTACGAAAATGGGTTTAAAGTTTGAGTTTGTGGACAAAATAATGAAGTACTCTTTGAAGGATAGTGCGAGACAATGCGAGGGACTGGAAACCAATAAAGTGCGAGGCAAAACCGCAACCTTATCAAATTACGCCTTCCCATTGTCCTTTGCGAGTTCAAGGTAGCATACCTTCATGAACGACCCGAAATGCAATACTTTCGGAATATTTGAAGTTGCCAATCAGCAAACAGTAACAAAAACTTTATATTTGTTGTCCAAATCTCCTTCAATTCATCAGCAACCTTATCCTTTTGATCAACAATAAAACACAAACAGCGGTGATAAACATTGTGAGTTTTTGCATTTTTATAAACTTGACGTTTCGTATGCTATTCAACATACATTGTCAAAATGATCTTAAGTGACCATTAAAGAAAATGACGAGACTTTATACTGTACTCAAAAATTACAAGTGGTCTGGAAATGAGATAAAGAATTTAAAAATTCTTAACAGTAATGAATACAAAAGACAACAGCTAATAAAGTATCAGCTTTTCACTGCTACCTTCCTTTTACTAATGCAATTGTTTCAACAGGGTATTCGAGATGGCCCCGCACTTGAAGGATTTATTTCCTTTTGGTAGCGACTTGACGCAGCCACAGTTTACTGAGCATGCCCTGAAAGTAATGAACACTATTGATTTAGCAGTGAAGAATTTGGATAACCCGGATGTACTTGTCCCAGCCCTGGAGGAACTGGGACGAGTGCATGCAATGTTTGAATTAACCAATCAAGAGTTTGAGGTACGAAACTTTCTCATTTAAAAATGTTGTGCTCGTAGTTTTGGCTTTTAGGTCAGGGAGGAAATCCTATTGTATCCTATTGTGTATTGCCCTACGAGAACCATGTTTAGGTTTTGTTTATGAGATCTACAAGGCTTTGACAATTTTCAGCTCTTACAGGCTCTTATAATAAAGCTTCTACTTCACACATTTGGCCTGTGAGCTCCAAACATGCAAAGTCGAACCGCAGGACGGAAAAGGCTGGAGCAATTCTATGCTTGGCCATTTCCCATTTGTGGTGTCCATCCTGGGGCATGTGCAATTTTGAATATTATNTTCCCTTTGGTAGCGACTTGACGCAGCCACAGTTTACTGAGCATGCCCTGAAAGTAATGAACACTATTGATTTAGCAGTGAAGAATTTGGATAACCCGGATGTACTTGTCCCAGCCCTGGAGGAACTGGGACGAGTGCATGCAATGTTTGAATTAACCAATCAAGAGTTTGAGGTACGAAACTTTCTCATTTAAAAATGTTGTGCTCGTAGTTTTGGCTTTTAGGTCAGGGAGGAAATCCTATTGTATCCTATTGTGTATTGCCCTACGAGAACCATGTTTAGGTTTTGTTTATGAGATCTACAAGGCTTTGACAATTTTCAGCTCTTACAGGCTCTTATAATAAAGCTTCTACTTCACACATTTGGCCTGTGAGCTCCAAACATGCAAAGTCGAACCGCAGGACGGAAAAGGCTGGAGCAATTCTATGCTTGGCCATTTCCCATTTGTGGTGTCCATCCTGGGGCATGTGCAATTTTGAATATTATTGAAAAAGAAAAAAAAAACATTCACTACTTTCACATTAACCATAATACACATTGTTTACCCCCCAAAATTTTGTATAAGTATTGTTTTCAAGTTCTCTTGGGAGGATTGTAAATCCCAAAAGAAATTGGAAACAATACTTATGCCAAAAATATGTAAGGAGTATTATGGGAATGTGAAAGTAGTTACTAACATCTGACACTGTATTTGTCAAAATCGCTCATGTTTCGACAACCTTTGTTAGTCTTTTTAGTACTGTACAGGCTGTGCATCAAAGTCATCTTAAAAGTAATGATGTCTCAAGTGTAACAACATCTGTGGTTTCCCAACTGACGGTCTAAATATTTCTTACCATGAAGAATATCATGTCACAGTTTCCTGTTAGATAGATGCACAGACCTTCAATTGGAGTGTCAGAAAAGGATAATTCAAAAAATTCTCAAACTCTTCATGGCTAAACAAATGGTGTCATGTTAAGTCTGTAAATGAACTGCTAAAGCAGTTTTACTGATGAACAGTTCAGTACAGTTCTGAGACGATCTGGGCACGTCTTCCCCATTAACGCAAAAGTATATTAATTTTCTTTCCTTTCAGTATGTTGGACAAGCTCTGCTATCAGTCCTAGAGGAGGGACTAGGAGAAGCTTTCACACCAGCATTAAAGGCTGCCTGGACTGATGTCTATGCTATAATTACTGATATTATGC